TAGCTCTTAGTTTTCCTGGCTTTCTTCAAGACTCTTTTCAAATCATCTTCTGCAGGAGGACTTCCCCTCTAAATTTTCCTTCCTTTGCTTATATTTTATAAATATTTTGTTATTTGTGTGTTGTTTCCTCCATTACATTGTAAGCTCCTTGAGATTAAGGAATATTTTTACTTTTCTTTGTACCTCTAATACTTAGTACAGAGCTTGGCACATAGTAAACACTTAATAAATTCTTGCTGACTTACTGGGAGAGCTGGAGAGTAGCAGGGCAACTATTTAGAAATGATGTTCTGTAGCAAAACTCATCCTTCCAGTAATGCATTCAGCTTTCTTGTTGATTGGTAACTGTAAAAAAGCAATTGATTTAGTAGAGTAAAATTCTACCTTGAAAGTACTAGTCTTTTCCCTCTGTAATCTATTTTCTGTGTAGCAATGAGACTGATATTCTTAAAAAGTAGTTCTGGCTGTGTCATACTTGTACTCAAAAATATTGTGACTTCCTCATATCTCTAGGTTAAAATATCCTCAGCCCTGGCATTTACTATTTTTCACATAACTTACACCTATATTTCTAGTCATATTCTTCTATTTCACATACGCTGTTCCAGGCAAACTTGTGTGCCAGCTATGGCCTTTGCACAAGTTTTCCCCAGCATTTGGAATTCTGCACTCATTTCTCACCTCCACCTTACTAATCCCTGTCTTCCTTCAAAATACAACCTAAGTGTCCCTTTCCTGATCTTCCCTTCCCATTTTGCCCCCACTTGTTAGTACTTTCTTTTGCTTAAAATAACTTTGTGTGCACTTGGTATTGCTTCTATGTGAATAATTGCATCACACAAGTAGACTAAGGTTTTTAAGGACAGGAACTGTTTTGTTTATGTTTTGTATTCCTGGCATATATAACATTATTTTATATTCATTAGGCACTTAATAAATGTTTGTTGACAGTGCCTGACACATAGTTAATGATTAATAAGTGTTTAATTGAGTAGTTGAACAATGTTTCTCATGCTTATGTGAAAACTATACAAAAGTCCTTAAAGGATATAACATCAGTAATAATTGTTCAGTAACTCTTTGATTATTAATGTTAAATAAAGCACAAGACAGGAAAATATGTTCAGCAAAAGTGTTTGACTGGGTTGTAGAGACTGGGCAGTGCTGAATCCAAATGGAAGAAGGGTTCTGCATTCTGCATAGGATTTCAAAATATCCCTATCTTCAGATAACATTTTGCCAATTATAGGCCTCAGAATTATTTGGACCATCTTAAAGAAGGAACATGATCATTCCAAAAACATTTGGCCTCTTAATCTACACAGGAAACACCAAGGGGTTAAAACTTCTCCCTGAAACTAAGGTCTATATTTTTAATAGTAACATTCCTCCAGTTTTGCTATATCTCTGCTAGTCCAGGAATACCATAGCATCTGAATGTTTAAAGTTCTTTGTCAATCACTTGTGAATAAGATGCATTCAAAAACTGCCTGTAAGAGGCTTGAAACATGATCATTACAGAGATGTACTGTACAATTAGAGAAGATTATACTCTGATCATGGAGAAATAGCAAGATATATGTATATATAATATACACACACACACACACGCACACACATATACCTCCACACACACATACATATATGTATTTACGTATTTTATATATATATATATGTATATACACATGCATACATACATTTAAATATATGTATTTATATGTTTGTGTATATACAGTGGACAGCCCTATCCAATGGCAAGGGATCTGGAAAAGGTCTCCATCATGTTGTGTAGAACCTGTGTGGGGGACTGATGGGAAGATGCAGACAGCATTAAAATTCTGTTTTCCTTGGCTGTTTTAATAGAGGACCATCTTAACATGAATGTTTGAATTCTACATACAGTTTAGAAACCTGACTTTTGGTTAAAAAACTTTTTTTTTCTCTCACCACATATTAAATTCCTTGGAATATAACATTTTAGACTTAGGAGGGACCTCTGTGATAAATGTGGTGTTCTGGAATTGACGCAGGACTTGATTCAAAGTCCATCTCTTTAGCTTATTGACTCTTCAACCTTGGCCAAGTCACTAAACTTTTTTCAGTCTCAGTTTTTGCAACTGTTAAATAGGAGTAATGGCACTAACTTCTAGTTCCCTCACAGGGTTGGTTTCAGGATGAAACAATGTAAAATAATACATTAATATGAGCTGTTAATCTGCCCCATTCTCCCTCATTTTGATTGAGGAAGCCAAAGCCTTTAAGAAATACTAGCAAATTGCTCACTTTGGTCTATATCCTTTTTCTGTATATACATTTTGGTTGTTCCTAATGAAATGGCCAGAAGTCAAGTTTGTAAAGGAAGATTAAGAGGAAAAAAGAGAATTAATTATTAACTGTATCATCAGTTTCTGAATAATAACTATCTGTTTTGCCGGCCATTACACAGCAAAATCATGATAATTAGTGTTCTCACTTTGGACACCTAAGGCCAAACTCTGTATTTTAACAGCATCCCATTCACTGGTTATGAGGTTGTCAGGATAGGAGACTTGCATGCTTTTTGACCTCTTCTTTGATTCACCTGTGTTATTAGATGCTGTAAGCATCGCCAACTTAGCCCCTGCTGCTCTGCTCTAGTTCTATCTAACCTTTTCCTCTGCTTCATAGAACCTAGTACAGAAGACAGTCACAGCATTCAAGTCCCCAATACAACCCAAGCCTTCATTCTGACTCCCTCTAATCCTTTCATCTAGCCATGAATCTATCAGCTCTTTCCATTCCCTTCGTATCTCCTCGTGAAAAATCTCATTGCATTAGTTGTGTTTAGAAAAGGTTCTAGGCATTTCTCTTGATGGTAAGATAAAGAATATTTATACCGCAAAATTCTTTATAATTCATAAACTAATATTCTTGACTTTACAAAAATATTTATTATAGTTCTGATAAAAACATTTTCTAGTTAGTTCTGTAACTTAAATACAGATTATACTGCATTTAATAGGGAAGGGAGTGTAGAGAAATAAAGCAGTACACAATGATGGAGACGGGGAATAATAAAGGAGCTCAAATGGTAGGGATAGAACCCTGGCTTTTTAGGAGCTGGAGGAAAAAGTGGAGCCCAAGGCTCTAATAACATTATTTCATCTCTTTTATTGGTTGAAAAGTTGTTTACCTGCAGGTAATCAGTCTGACTCGTCGTTGCCCAGGTAAGCTCTAGCTTTTGGTGGAGCTATGACTCTCTTGTTAGCTACTCTGGGTGCAGCAGCAGTAGTTCTTTGCACAGAAAACTTTCTTTTGCGATCAACCTCTGTCTCAGTCACCGGTCTTGCACTAGTGCTCTTAAGTCAGATGACTGTTTTTAGGGCCAGTAGTTGCTTTGTAAATAAGATGTATAATTCCTGTAACCTGCTGAAACTGAATTGTGCCCAGAGATTTTCCATAAATTTATATTTTTAATTTCCAATTAGTAGATCAGTATAAATAGGTAGGATAGCATTCAGTTGCCAATACTATTTTGACTAAAATTGCCTGGCAAGTACAGTTCAGAGCTCAAAAATTATTTTTATTGTTGATACACATGTGGTACATAATTTTGCTGTCCTTTTGTACAGGTTGCCAGGGTTTGAATGCCCTTTTATGTTATTGATGATGTGATTGTTTCTCAAAAAGAAAATAATTCATCTTTCACATAGTAGAACTTGTAACCTCACTGTTTAAACATCTTGAGTGGATCCCCATTTCATATGGGATTAAGTTCAGATTTCTTAAGTGTGTTATTAAAGACCTTTAATCTCAGCCAATTAAGCAATTATTAAGTAGGTACTGTGTACCAGGCACTGTACAAAGTGCTGGAGATACAAGAAGGGAAAACAACAATCCCTGCTCTCAAGGGGCTCACAATTTAATAGAGGTGAAAACAAGCAAACAAATATGTACAAACAAGTCATATATGGGATAAATAGGAAATCATCAACAGAAAAGCTTCCTGTAGAAGATGAGATTTTAGTTGGGATTTAAAGGGAATCCAGGGAATCCAGTAGACAGAGATGAGCAGGGAGAGTGTTCTAGGCATGAGAAACAGCCAGAGATAATGTCCAGAGTCAAGAGACAGAGTGTCTTGTTTGTAGAACAGCAAAGTGGCTAATTCACGGGATTGAAGAGTTCATGGTGGGGAGTAATGTGTAAGAAGACTAGAAGAGTGGGGGTAAGGGGGAGTAGATTATGAAGGACTTTGAATGCCAAATAGATCATTTTGTATTTGATCCTGGAGGTGACAGAGCGACTATTGGGAAGACATAGTTGGATCTGTGATTTAGAAAAATCACTTTGGTGACTGAAAGGTTGGAATAAAGTGGGGAGAGACTTGCAACCGTGAGACCAGCCAATCTATTTAACGTAACAGTACAGGCATGAGGTGATAAGGGCCTGCACTAGAGTGGTGACAGTGTCAGAGAAGAAAAGGGGCTCAGACTTGAAATTGATAGACCTTGGCAACACATTGGATATGGGGGGTAAGAGATAATGAAGAGTCAAGTATTAGACCTAACAAGCCTGAGGGACTGGAAAGATAGTACTGCTCTCGACAATAATAGGGAAGTTTTCTAGTCTTATCTTCCATTATGTCCCCAATATGTACCTTTTACTCTAGCTTTCTGGTACACTGTCCCCCAAATATACTTTGTACTGTGAATCTTCTGGAATTCCCTCCCATCTTTCTCTATGCCTCCATGCAGTCTGTCTGTAGTCTATATATCCTTTGTGGCCTTAATAAGAACACTTATTGTCAAAACCTTTTGTCCAGCAATTAATCTTGTATTCAGTTTTGAAGTATCTTGTATGGTTGCATAAGTCTTTATCTTCCTAATGAAACTGTAAATTTTTGAGTGCAAGGATTATGCTTTAAATATATTGCCTAATATGATACCTCATAGGCAAATGATGTCTATTTTAGATTTATTATTAATTTAATATGATGAAATATTTTATTTATTTTTAAACAGCTTTACAATGAATTACAAATTAATTTTGAAGCACAGAAAGCAACTGAGTCTCTGCTCCGGAAAAATATTCTTTCTCTTAAGGATCAACTAGTTCAAAAAGACCGGGATATCATACAGCTGACAGAAAAAATTGATGAACTTGAAAAAACTTCACACTTAGTAACTCATAACCCTTTTCTAAATAATGTGAAAGAGGTGAGAGCCAGTTTTTAAAAGTTTTATTTGTATTGATTTGGATTATTTGTCACTTTTGATTAGAACTTTAAAAATCTAAGTATACTTGCATAAAATAGGAACTAGACTAAAAAATGAAAGGTAGCTTCCTTGTATTCCCAAGAATATTTCACAAAATTGTTACATGAATACTTAATTTATCCAGTATAGTTTTTGGTAGCATATGTGTTATTCTTCAGTTAGTTGTAGTTACCGTCAGTATAAAGCAGATTAGTAGTTTGTGTCTGTTTTGATAATTTTCTTGATGAAGGAAGCACCATAAGGTAATCAAACATTTTTCAAAATTTGATTTCTTTGACTTTGGGTTAAGATTTTTTTCTGGTTTAATATGATTTCAGATTCTTCCCAACTAAGAATTTTTTCACTTTATTACATTTTATGAGGCATGGAAAATAAATGTAACATTAGAGTTTCCCCCATAGAATAGCTACCACTAGGAGTATTAATGGTAATATGTGGTCAAAAATCTACTAGCTAAATGATTTTCAGAAGTGAACTACCTGTGTCCTTAGACATGTTGCATAATATTTCTCTTCCAAGGAATGGAAAATAACTTAACTTTTTTCTCAATTTAATAAATAAGTTTTTATTAATGTCTTTTTCATATTACCATATTCCCCCTTCATATTCCTTTCCTTCCATGCTGAGAACAATTTCTTATAACAAAGAATATTTTTAAAGATAAGAAGGAGGAAAAATGATCATAAGTGATCAATAGGTTGAATAAGTCTGAAAATATATGCGATTTACCATACACCTTCCAAAAGTAAAGGAAGTGAGGTGGGATGTTTTCTCACATCTCTTCTTTGGATTCAGGCTTGTTCTTTGAATTTTGCAACATTAAATTCTTATGTCTTTTCTTGTCGGTGGCTTTTTTTTTGTTTGCTGTGGTCGTTGTGTTTATTGTTTTCTAGCTTCTGTTGACTTCATTGTGCATCAGTTCGTATAATCTTTCCATGTTTCTCTGTGTTCATCATATACGTCATTTCTTTCCAAGATGGTTGTACCGATTCACAACTCTACTGCAGAGCACTCGTATGCCTATTTTCCCATAATCCCTCCAATATTTACTGTTGTTATCTTTTGTCACTGCCAATTTGTGTGATGGGAGGAGAAAACTCAGGGTGGTTGTGATTTGTTTTTCTCTTATTATCAGTGATTTGGAGCATTCTTTCTTATGGTTGATAGTTTATAATTCTTTTGAGCACTATTGGTTTCCTTTGACCAATTATACATTTGAGAATGGATTATAGTCATATATGTTTACATATATGTAATAGTGCATTTACATATGAGTCTGTCTCTGTTTCTCTGTCTAGCTGTCTGGTAGACTTCTATTTCTGGGCTTTATCCTTCCTTATTTGAGGGATTACGCCACTATTTGGCTCAGAAAAAGGTAGAATATTGTCAAGTTTAGTCTATGATGTGGCTGGACTATTTATCCATTTCTTTTTTTGAGTTTTGCTTTCTCCTTTGTTCCATACTCATTTTCTGAAAGAAATCTCTTAATGATCTCTCTTTTGGTCTTTTGTTGATATTGTTCTTGGTTGCTATATTGCTTTTTTTGTTTGTTTTGTTTCTATCTTGTATTTCTGTTTTCTTTGGTGTTTGATAAGTTCATAATTTGTTCAGGTTTGGTTCTCTTTGTTTCTTTTTTTTTTTTTTAGGCAATTGGGGTTAAGTGACTTGCCCAGGTTCACACAGCTAGTACGTGTCAAGTGTTTGGTCTGAGGCTGGATTTGAACTCAGGTCCTCCTGACTTCAGGGCCTGTGCCCTATCCGCTGCGCCACCTAGCTGCCCCAGGTTCGGTTCTCTTTGTAAAAACACCTTTTTATCCTACTGAGTACTTATATTTTTCATTAATAGTAGGGGTCAGATTTGTAGGGTATGTCACAGTGGGGTTGCATCTTGAGCTCCTTTGCCTATCATAAAACATTATTCTATTTCCTAATGCAGTTTCTGGTGGGTAAAAAATAATCTTGTGTTGTTTGAATTTTTTTCCTTTGTATTTGAAAATCTTTCTTCTTATCTCTTACTCTATTTGTTGTTTGTCATTGGAACTACTAAATTTAACTACTACAGTTCTTAGAGTTTTTTGGGTGGGGGAAGGTGATCTGGGGATTCTTTTGACTGACACTTTGTTTGCTGTGTTCAGAAATTCTAGGCAGTTTGTTGTATTTCATACATTATATGTTCAGATTTTTTGAATAGTCATGTTCTTCTGGGAGGTCAATAATCTTTAAGTAGTCTCTACACTGTCTTCTAGATGAAAATGTTTTGTTTTTATGGAGATCACATTTTTTTTAGATTGTCCTTTACTTCTGTATATTTTTATTCCTAATCAGTTGTTCTTTGTTTTTTTCAGTGAGGTTTGCCACTATGGATTTAAGTTTTTCTTTTCTACCAGTTATTTCTCTTGAGAATTTATAGATTCACAAATACAACTATATTTTGAAAGTATGATGTCATAATTTTATATTTTATAACCTGAAATAACATTTCTCATTTTTATCTCTTACTGGCTTCCGATAAGAAAAAGTTAAAGACCAAACATATTTTGTACTGTCTTCCCCTAAAAGTAAATGTTTAATCTTTTCTTCTTTTCAATTCATATTTAACTACATCATTGAATTCAAAAGTTGTCTTTAAACTAAATATATGCTAATTAAATTACAATTCTCCCTTCGAATTCCAAAAAGAAATTTCAGCATTGAAAACAAAACAAAATTGCCACTTATTTATAATTAATATTCAAAGGAAGGTTATGAACATTAATAACAACCTTCAAAATGTTATAAAATGCAAATTTAATTCCATAAATTTTCTCTTTTTAGAGATTAGAGGTATATGAGAAGGAAATATATTTTCTTGATTTTTTTCTTATCCTATTAATGCATTCAATAGAGCTTGAATAGTATTCCTTTCTTTTCAGGACATCAAGACATTTAGGTCATAGATAATGGATTATTAGAGATGTAAGTGAGTCAAACCATCTATTTCAGCCTTCTAATTCTAAACATGAAGAGACTGAAACTAGAAGAGGTAAAATGGCTTATGACTCTATCATAACTAATGGAAGAACTGAGATTTGATCTAGGCTCTCTTGAGTGTTTGTTTAATACTCTTTCTGTGAAACCACACAAGTTTAGTAATCTTAATTTTATAAGGCATTGAATTCCATCTCTCTTCCTGGGGATTGTCTCAAGAAAATTTTTAACAACCCCCCAAAAAATCAAATCCAAATGAACTCCATTTCACTTTGATTTAAATGTTTGTTATTTGATAGATATTTCCCATGTCTGATAGAGCACTTTGAGAGTAGGAAAATCAAATGGTAGGGATCCCTAAATTCATAATTATTGCTAATTAATATTTTGCTCTAAATTCCTAATTGAATTGTTAATTTAAGTGCCCATTTTTAATTGTTGCTGCTGACATTGTTAGGCCAGATTGATGTATTTCTTTAGAAACAAACATTGAAGTGTATTCGTATCAGTAATCACTAAACATATCTTCTCCTAAGTTTTTTTTTATTTTTCTAGGTAACAGTTTCTATGTAGCTTTACCTAAATACCATAGATCTTTGTAGCTGCCTTTATATTTTGCTAGTGGCTGGAATTAATAGTTTAGATGATCTCAAATAGTATGTAAAAATTAAAAATCATTTATATTTTAAATGTTTTTGTGATATTCAACTATAAATTTGTCTGATAATGTGGGAATTTGAACTATTTAGTAAATAATTAGGAATTCACAATGTGATCATTATTAGTTTGAAGGAAAGAAAGATGTTTAGCATCATCTTTCATATTAATGCAAAGTACCAACTTTATGTGTCTTATAACCTTTCTTATGTGTCTCTATAACCTTTCTTTGTAGGAGAAGGGTGCCACTTTAAAGGCATACCACTTTTGATTCAAAACAGGGATTCGTGTTGTTAATGAACTTTTAAAATATCTTGATAACTATATTTCAATATAGTTGCTTTCTTTGTAATTCTGTGTATTTTGTTTTATGCTTTTAAAACCGTTATTTTTTGTAGGTGTCCTTCCAAAGTGTTCCATGTCACAAAAGATTTAAAAGCTCTTGGTTTAGAAGAAGACTTCTAAGTTATGTTAGCTGCTATAGGAATGTTCAGGGAGAGAAGATTTTGAATCATACTGAACAGGGGACAGTGAAAGGGGAGGTTCAAAAGAAGGGGAGAAATAGATAAGTGGAAAGAAAGAAATAAGAAATAAATTTAATCAAATTCAAAGAACTTGGGATAAGACAGATAAATATTGGCAGAGGGGATAAGGAGGTAACTCATATAGGAATGTTGTATAAGCTAATTGCAGGGAAAAGTTATTATCTTTAAAGAAGATTGTGATAAAATCAATACAAAAGAAGCAAGTAGAGGAAAACATAAACCCACATTTTAAAGATTAATATATTAAATAATCCAATAAGAGAAAAGTAGAAAAATGGATAAGAAAACAAAACCACCAGTGTTCTGTATGTCAGTGAATCAAGAAATAAACAGTTATTACACACTTACCATATTTCAGATACTGTGCCATATCTTGGGGATGCAAAGAGAGGCAAAAAAGTCCCTGTCTTCAAGGAGCTTAAAATCTAATGGGGGAGCCAAAATGCAAACAAACATATATAAAGCAAGCTATATGCAAGGTACATAGGAATTAATTAAAAGCAGGAAAGCTCTAGAAGTAAGAGGAGTTGGTGATGGATTCTGGTAAAAAATGAGAAATTAGTAGTACTTAAAGGAAGCCAGAGGTGTGAGTAGGCAGAGATGAGAAGGGAGAGTATTCTAAGCATGGGGGACAAGCCAAAGAAAATGCCTGAATCTGAGACATTGAGTGTTTTGTTGATGGAGCAGCCAGGAGGCCAGTGTCAGTAGATCATTATGGGGTAAGGTGTAAGAAAACTGGAAAGTTAGGAGGGGGCTAAATTATGAAGGTCT